GTGACGCGGTGTTTGACGTAAAGTTTGGGGGGGGGTGGGTTTTGTAAATGAAAGTTAGGGTGCTACCGTTAGGTGGTTGGGTTTTGCTAATATTTGGCAGTTTAATGGCATGTAAAACTATTTGTTCTATTTGCAGAAATATTTAACCTCATTCGTTGGCAAAATATCTGATTTTCTACCTGCAAAGTGCTCTCCCCGGTAACCACAACTACATAGAAACAATCTCCACAAAGAAAAAAAAAAAAAGAAAAACAAACAAACAAAAAAAACCCCCTTGGCATCAGTATCACTCTTAAAGCAGTTTGACTGTAATAAATTAAGCTGACGCTTTGTTTTTACTGTTATTCCTGAAATGGATTTTCGATTTAATTTTTTTATTGATGAAAATGAGAACAATGAACCAGACACTCAGAATAAGATGGATTTACAGATGTGCTCTCCAAAACGGAAGCAGGAATCTGCAGAAGAGAGCAAAAAAACTGCTGCTACCGTAGCAGACTCCAGCCCAAAGGTGGGTACAAGTAAGCACCAAGATGAGACACAATCAAAGCAAAAGTTGTGCGTTAAAGCTGCCAAGGAGCACGAGATTCCTGAAGATCTCAACAAAGTACTGGAAGACAAAGTCATGGAAACAGTATCAGACCTGTATTACGTAAAGATGTCTGTAGTGGAAACGATGTGTTTGGACGGCGCTGATGAAGAAGGCATCGTGGCTAAAAGTGTTGCTTCTCACTCCGATCTCATCCCGGGAGTCTATGAGGGGGGGATGAAAATCTGGGAATGCACCTTTGACCTCATAGCCTACCTTTCTGAGGCTGAAATACAGTTTACCAACAAGACTGTATTGGATCTTGGCTGCGGGGCTGGGCTGCTGGGAATAGTTGCTTTAAGAGGAAAAGCTGAAAAAGTCCATTTCCAGGACTACAACAGCACAGTGATTGACAAAATAACCTTGCCTAATGTGGTGGCTAACTGTATGAATGACAGCAGCAGGACAAGCAGTGGAGGCAACAAGAAAACTACCAAGCCTCCTTTGAAGAGGCTGAAGAAAGCAGAGTGCCTACCTGATGCGCTCACCAAATGCAGATTTTTTTCTGGCGAGTGGTCTGAAGTCAGCCAGCTCTTGTTAAGCAGCAACGAACCCTTTTCAAAGTACGATATCATTGTCACATCCGAGACCATCTATAACCCTGAGTACTACGGTGCTTTGCATGATACACTGGCTCGGCTCCTGGATAAAAATGGCCGTGTGTATTTGGCAAGCAAAGTCTACTATTTTGGGGTTGGTGGAGGTACCTACCTCTTTGAGAAATTCATTGAAGAGAGAAATGTGTTTCGAGCCACCATAGTTAAAACAATTGATAAAGGACTGCACCGATATATTATAGAAATGGCTTTTAAAGATTCCAATTAAAATTCAACCATTGGTCCTGCAAAAATGTCTTAAAGACTAATGTTATTAATCCTTATATTTCTGCTTTCCTCCGTTGACTTATTTTAGTATGACAAATTAAAGAGATGCTCATTATTGAAATGTTTGACAAATTCTGATGTTTGGCTGGAACTCGAGGACTCTTCTGATTCTGGTTTTGCATAGAAAAATGGAGTTCTGCTCAAATCTCCATCTGTTTATGCCAATTAATTGCCATTTATATGTACTTTAAAAAGTCATTATCCCCGGTACCCCCCTCCAATTCTTTGGCAGTGCTAGAACTGTACAGTATAGGAGTGGCTGCGGAACTGAACGAGATCATTTTTCATCCTGGTTCAGAGCAGGAAGCTGTTCCCACGGGTGAGACTCCCAGCTCAGACAGGGTTTAACTGCAGCAGCAGATCCCAGAGCCGACTGCAGATTCCACACCTCTGTGCTCTGCCACCAGAGGGGGATGCAGCTGTATTTATCACTCGAGTTCTATTCTGCCTCATACCTCACGCATTTCTCTAATGTTTCCATGGGTAACACACACGTGGATTTTATCTAAACCTTTGAAAAACTGTACCAGATAATATTTTCTAGGGATGTCTAAATTTTTAAGTTCATATGTTGACATATCACTAAGAAAATTTCAGCAAGTAATTGGGATAAGCCATACTGGTTTTAGAAATGAATAAATAATTTGGTTTAGCTCAGTTGAAAGAAGATTCTATACAAGAGAAGTTCTATAAAACAACCAACCAATAATAATAATCCAGGAAACTGGAGGATGACAGAACTGAGCTTTAAGTGACAAGTGGGAACAGAGATAAACTGTGCTATTAACAGCACTCTGCTAACAGGATTGCTGTACTGGTTTTTTTAAACAATATTTTTCCAGAAATTAACTGGCCATATATGGCCATACATGATATGGACCATACAGTATTATCCATTTTTAAAACTTGCTGGGGGTACTGCTGAACACTCACAGCTCTTCAATCTTGTCAGCAGTCTGGCAGGACAGCAAGCATTCAGAAAATCCTGAGTATAAGTCACTCCTGTGTCCCAGGCTGAAGATCATGACATTGCTGAAGAAATTGCCTTACCAAAATGCAAACAAGCACAGAGAACTACAAAACCTGGTCTTGAATGCTTGGTATCACCAACAATTCAAACAGAAAAATCCATTGCATGTTTTGTCTTACCTAAAACTGGACAAAAAGCACTTGCACAATGCTTAACAGGTGCATCTTACCATCATGCAGTGCTTTACTGAAGCAGTAATTCACTGGGTGCCCTGGCAGAAATATAAACTTGGGGACAGTCAAGCCCTGCAGTGAAGTGGATGCAAAGACACTCAAGAGTAGAGGAGACAGGACAATAATATGAGGAGGTGGAAAGAAAGGTGCTACAGCAGTGACCTAATCACTTTAATTATTGTGTAAAGTTCCAGTCACTGAAGGCTGTGAAAGTCAACTGTAAAATTCCTGTTTTGACCATATTAAGATACTCATAGAGAATTTCCTGTGCTTCACAGAAGAAAAACTACTGTTATTTCAAAACCAATTTTAAGTAGACTAATTTAAAGGGATGCTTTGGAAACTACTGAAGTTGCTTTTTTATAGGAGAGAGGGAGAGGGGAAAAGGCAGCCAGTTGCACCAGGGATTGTGTTCTTTGTCAAAACCAGGAAGTTGGGAACAAAGTGACTGTCACCTGCCATTTTTCAAACCTCAGTCCTAAGACAAATCATGGCTTGCACATAGCGACTGAATAGCTTGTTCTACACCTGCTGTATCTAGTGCTATTTCAGAGAATGGTACCTGCAGTAATAAGAAATGTCAATGACAACTGTGACAATTAGTTAAGAACAAGAATCTCATGGGGGATTTTTATGAATAAAGAAGGCACTTAAAATCTTCTGCCATAATGCTTGAAAAATATTCCACAATCAAACTCACTGTTTTGAGTTTATGCTACACCTTTGCTCAGCATCCTCAATTTATTCTTGAATTGTTCAAACACAGCTCTTTTTGCATATCAATAGAATCTGATTTTTTATGACTTTCAGGTGAAGACTGATGGAACCACAATCATACAGGGATTGCACACCTACAAAACAGGAAACCCCACACAGTGTAATTGAGTCCCATTTCAGATCTAAGAATTACAGAAGTTCTCAGGTGAAATGAGCAAAACTAAGTTTGGGATTGCACGAATTCTAGATGAGTTCTATCCTGAGAAGAAGCAGAATTCAACACTTAATTTTGTAGGCTGGTTGTTCTGTTGGTGTTTCAACATCAAATAATACTAGTTTCTCATATCTACCTTTCTCCACCTGCCAAATCATCACCACCCTAGTGACTAGTTACCTGCTTCTCCTCATTCTCTGGAATAAAAACTTCTAGTACTTGTACACATTAGTACAAGCTCAGGAAATTAGCATTCCCCCAAATAGCACTGCACTACAAAATAAGAGGATTGGGAAGACCCTCAGTCTTTTTTTGGTAACACAATAAATCTTTCCATTGGGCCCAATTTCTTCTATGAAGAAACAAAGGTAGAAGTCAGCTGGTAACTCAATTTCTCAGATCATTCCAAGTCCTCACCACGTTTCTCTCCTCACCCTCACTTTTTGAGAGTCATCACAATAAGAAATCCGGCCTCAATTATGTCTTTCCCGTAAGTATTGTGGAGAGAATCATTAAAATCAGTCATAAAACATCTCAGGAAGCTAAATTTAAAACCTTGTTTGTTTTAAACAGGCACTATCCTTAATTGTTAACTTCCCTTTTAAGACTATCTGCTAGTTTTGGGAAATGAGGTTATTAAAAAAAAACCAATTGGTCTTGTGTGCTGGCACCAATTAAATGGCATCCGTTACAGTTACTTCACTGAAGCTTAGGGGAAAAACCTATGAGGAAAATCAGAGTGGGAAGTGCCCAAATTTGCAAATTGACTCGTATGCCATTATAAGCTACAAGGTACACGGGCATTTAATCACCTTCTGAAATGAAAATCTTGTTAAGACAGATCAAACCTGCAGTCAGTGTGATCATGGCATTTGAGGTGGCACGGCCAGATGACCACTGCACAAGAGCATAACAAGAAGCACAAACAGCAGATGCAAAAGCCCAGAGGCACCAGAGGGGAGAGTCCAGGCTGCATATGAGAAGCAGGTGCCAACCAAGAGCCTGCAGCACCTGGTTCCAGAGGTCCTGCCCTCAGGTGATTATTAGGATGGAGATCTCAAACTCTTCTTACAAGGAACACACTGGAAGGTCTGAGGATGAGATGAGGAAATCTCCCTCTGCCCAACCAATCAGAATCACAGAAGGGTGCCATCAGATGGATAATTAGTGTAATAAGGCAGTAATAGCAGGACTTTTTTAATGTGATAGAGACTGCACTAAAGCCTCTCAAATTCCACAATGTTTGTACTTTAAGAGTCATGTGCACACTGAAAAGAAAAAGCCATCATACACCACTGGTAGAAAAGTGCAGTAGGAACCACAACAAAGGGAGGAGCCAGGGTTTATATACTAATACCTCTTGAAGACAGTAAAACAATATCTTAAGCATAAGAACAAAAAACACAGCTCTTGAAATCCACAACGGCATTCAAGAAAAGGCTGCAAGGAAATAGAAAAGGTGAAAATTGTAGCAAGTAACTTCACAGCAAATGAAGGACAACATCCTGCCACAACTGGAGGAAGCAGGTGCTCTAAGTTAATTCAGACACACCTAGGTGTGTTGGGTCTGGCTGGGAGGTATTTAACTACAAGATAGTTATTGCTTTCAAAAAAAGGAAAAATATCATAGTGGGAATGAAAGAAGTATAGGATAATCATAATGAAACAAGTATTGTCAGAATTTGACATTGCCATCAGTCTGCTATAGGGAGGAGTCTTGCAGGAACACAAAAGACCTTGATCATTGCTTGTGTGGAACACAAATATTGAATTTTCTATGCTATGGAGTAAATCATAGCTGTAGATCATTGATGAAGAACTGTAACAGTCCACCCTCCCTCTGCCAATTTTTGTAAATGTGGATCAGAAAGCTGAAAAGCCTAAAGAGCAATAGAAAAAAAAAGTTAACAAAGAGAAAGGGAACAGGTTTGGTCCTGTGGTGTTTAAGTTGATGGCAAAATTCTGATGTATCCTACAATATATCAGTAAGACAGAACTGGATGAAAATAAACTGGGAGGTAAGATGTGGGAGTGTTTAATTAGATAGCATGGAAAAGATGGAAAGAAAAAAGGCTCAGAACTGCAGATTCTGCACAAAGGAATGACCTGAAAAAGTATCTGGCAGTTACCAACTGTATTATAAATTACAGCAGAGTCCAGTTATTCAGATTTATGGTAACATACACAGAAAATACATTCCATTTTATTTATCAAAGTACAGCTCAGAGTTACCAGTTTTAAACTGCTTGTTGTATTCTTAAGTAGTCAATTTATTTCTTGTCATCTGACCAGGTAATTTCATAATCTGTATACACTTTTTTCAGAATCTCTACAGTCACTGAATGATCTGCTTTTCCATAGCCCTGCAAGAAAGAACAAGTGTTCATTAGACAAGTACAGAAAGTAAGTCCAGAGAACCATTCAGTTCTTGTTGACACATTATCCAGTTATGACTTGATATTTCAAGTAGTTTGCTTACATATGAAATATAGGTTGTAAAGGAGTTATTTGTGCAGTATCGTGTTTTATTTTTCTATTGTCCTCTCCAACTATCTCCCAGCCACAGCTGCAGAAAATAAGATGAAGTCAAGCAACCTAAAGTAATAGAGGATGTATTTTTCACATCATGATTTCTCCAACAGAAAGCTTGGTTTAAGTTTTCCTAATCCCTCAGCCACCATAGTATTGAATATTATTTTAAACCCCAGAGATTGCATTGACCTGCTTTAATGTACAAGCATACAAACATCTGATTTGGCTCAGACGAAGGAAAAGGGAATAAACCACCACATGTGTGAAGACTGAAGTATTATTCTAGCCGCTAAAGATATCAGTCTTCATGTTTTATTTTAAATTATGCCATTACCAGCTAAGCCAACAATAAATATCTGTGCTCTTCAGCACCACAACTTCAAACTAAGGCAAGGTCAGATGACCCACATGATTTTTAACTTTCATTTAAGTCACTGATCACAGCATTACTCTTCACTGAAATTTAAGACAGTTGTGGTAGAAGATGCCTTTTGGTTATTGTCTTGTATGACAGGAATTATCTTGATTTCTTGTTTCAGAACTACAAGTTTTTCCCTCATCAAAAAGCCTTTACTGCACAACAGTTCACTCTACTGATAAAAAATGTTTTACAGGTTACTTCCTTTTTTCTACCAATATTTCATATGAAAATTAACTTGAAAACCTAAAGAGCTCAATTGCATTATCAAAAAAACCCACATACTCTCATTCATGGCAAGGGATACAAAGAAAAACAAAAAGGGATTCTATAAGTATCTAAGTCAGAAAAGAAAGGTCAAAGAAGGTGTACCCACCCTAGAGATAAACAATGGGGAGTTAGTAACAGTGGATGAGGGGAAGACTGAGGTACTCAACAAGTTCTTTGCCTCAATTTTTACCAGCAACCCTTCTCTTCACAGCCTTCAAACTGATGGCCCACAGGACAAGGACCTGGTAGACAAAGTCCCTGTCACTGTAAGCAAGGACAAGGTTCACGACTACCTGAGGAACCTGAACATAAATAAGTCCATGGGACCTGATGGGGTGCATCCCAGAGTATTCAAGGAACTGGCTGATGCAGTTGCTGAGCCACTCTCCATAATCTTTGAGAAGCCATGGTAGTCAGGTGAAGTCCCTAGCGACTGGAAAAAGGGTAACATCATGCCACCTTTAAAAAGGGTAAAAAGGAGATCCTGGGAACTACTGACCTGTTGGCCTCACCTCTGTGCTTGGGAAGATCATGGAACAGATCCTCCTAGAAAACATACTAAGGCATATGGAGGACAAGGAGGTAGTCCCAGGTAGTCAGCATGGATTTACTAGGGGCAAGTCCTGCCTGACCAACCTAGTGGCCTTCTACAATTAAGTGACTGTATCAGTCAACAAGGGAAGGCCTATGGATGTTGTCTATCTGGAATTCTGCAAGGCCTTTGACACCGTCCCCCACAACATCCTAATCTCCAAGTTGGGGAATTACAGGTTTGATGGGTGGACTATTCAGTGGATAAAGAACTGGCTGGTTGGTTGCATCCAGAGAGGGATGTTCAAGGGCTTGATATCCAATACAAGAAGGATGTAGACATATTGGAGCAAGTCCACAGGAGTGACTGGGATCAATCCAAAATGATCCAGGGATTGGAGCACCTCTCGTATGAAGACAGGCTGAGGGATTTGGGGCTGTTCAGCTTGGAGAAGAGAAGGCTCCGGGGGGACCTTATAGTGACCTTCCAGTATCTGAAGGGAGCCTACATGAAAGCAGGGGAAGGTCTATTCACAAGGGTTTGTAATCAACCTCACAAGTGAGCCAGGAACATTTTCCTGTTAATGTTTACACTGTGATTAAAATTGCCAAAAGCCACCATACTTAAAAAAAAAAGCCCAGAACACTAGAGGCTAAAGGATTTGAAGGAATACAAGAGATGCACTTACTGTAGAGAGCCCAAATACCCTGATTTTCTTGTCTTTGCTATTATGGTCAATTTTCCCTCCTCCAAGGCACTTGCACTCATATCCCAGCTTTTCCATCTCAGGATTTACTTTTTCAAATATGTGATCTGCAAAGGAAGAATAGTTACAGTCATTAGAATACACAGCAGGCAACAAATCTAGAACTCTTCAGGTACTTTCCATTCACTTTCCTCCAGTTCCCTTCTTTCACATGCAAGAGAGGGAGGCTTCTCTTGACAGACAAAGCTGTAAATAAGGTTCTCCATTTAATTTTTTTTTACTTGGAATCATAAAATGGTTTCGAAGGGACCATAAAGATCATCTAGTTCAAACACCTCTGCCACGGCAGGGACACCTCCCACTAGGCCAGG